GGGGGGGGGGGAGAGAGAGAGAAATCATATAGCTACAGAGTTTATATCCCTTTCCCAATCAGTTAATTACAAGCCCAGATCCTTAAGTTAGTCTACATAAGAGTAGAGTTATAATATGGTCCTAGCAGGCTTTAGTGTATATTTGTAGTGGCATATCTCAACAATTTTAGACATTCCTGGTCTCCAGAGGATGGGTCCTACTGACTCTGTTGAACCCCTGACTTTCCATCTATCGCCCCCAGCAGGATTACATTTTTGTTTTTGAGTGAAATGTCTTCACGGCTATTGGATGGATTGCATTGAAATTTGGTACTGACATTTATGTCCTTCAGTGGATGAAGTAACTTTGATGATCGCCTGACTTGTCATCTAGCGCCACCATCGGGTCAAAAAGCTAAAAAGTCTTATTTTAGACACAATGTTTTTCAACCAGTTACAAACCTAGTCATTAAAGTTTGTGCAGAGTGTGGTCCTTGCTCAGTTTGTAGTCTCCGTTTTAGTGACTAACATTTTTTAAAAGAATAAAAAGGACACATTTGTGAAGAAATATTTGGGTAGAGGAAAAAAAGTTAGTCATCAGTAACTTTCCACCTCTGCCCTCGATACAGCTAACCCCCGAGGATCATGGGAAAGGTCCCTTTAAAAGAGTGTGACCAATCCAGCAGGGCAAGAGCCAGGTTAAACAGCTGTACAAGCATTATGATTTTAACAATAAGATCTCTGGAATCTGGCTACAGCCATTAAATCCTATGAAACACAGCAGGGGCCAAAGCTCCTTCCTGGTATGCGTGCTTGTGTGTATGTGTGTGTTCATGTGTGCATACGTGCCTGTGTGCAAGTACATTCATACATGCTTCAATGGATTTGTTTCCAAATGTGTAATTCCCTGACTGCTACCAGAGCTGGTATGTTGCTCAAATGTAGCGTTCTGTTAAATCATTGCAATCCACCCATAGCAGTGACTCGGGAGGTCTGTACAGCTTTCTAATCATTTTTAAAAACAACAGCCAAAAGGAACAGTCGGTCACTTTGAATAACTTAAAGGTTTGTACTATTCTGCCGCGGATGCAGCGCACTCTCTTGTGACTGGCATGTTTACCAAACGCTCTAATGGCATCATTTTCTGCTATGCTTCACTCTTCAGCAAAGCAGAACAGTTTGTTTTATTTCAGAATGGCAGGAGGTTATACAAGGAAGTCATGCTGCAGCAAGAAAGCAGGCATCCCTGGGTACATGTCAGAGTTTCCCACCCGAGATATTTTAAGGCACAAAACGGGAAGCTTCAATGAATGAACATTCTACATCCCGTTTTTGAATTGTGGTATAGCAGCATGAAGCTAGCATCGACGCCATTGCCCACGCAAACGAGATGCTAGAGCTGAAATAGCCTCATCTCATCCTCTGTTTAAGATCTTTTACATCTCTCAGGAAATTATTGAAACACAGTGGGTCAGGAGGAAGGAGCAGTGGGTCAGATGAAAACTGTGTCGAAATTGTTTAACCCACTTCAGAAAATATAATGTTATATCTCCTGAATACATCAAATATGCTAATTCCATTTTATAGCATTGCTGGTGATGCACTACAGCCCACAGCAGATTTAGGCCCACAGACTCTGATGTGTTGTACTCTATAATATCCAATCACCTGTATTTTGTATGTATATATAATTAATAACGATATAATTGTTATTTTAAAGACAAACAAATACCATACCAATGATGCAGTGTCTCTTGCTCTTACCGTAAGGACAGTCTAGAAGTTCACAAAGTTTCTCACAGTAGCAGTATGTGTATAAGTATGTGTGTGCCCCTGTGTCAGATCAGTATTAACAAGGAAATAAAATTGCATCAGCAGGGAGAATCAGGTGGAGGTCAGCTTCCAGATGCTTGTTGGTTGGAGCTTTCTTGTAAAGGAATAGCAGCCATTACTTTTTCTTTCACAGACTTAAAGCCAATTATCTTAGCAGCAGTTAACAAGAGAAACACAGGGTTAGGTTACATGGTAGCATGCAAACAGAGTTCCCACATGTTCCAGAGCTGAGCCTTGTTTACATGTGGACATATCCAGTATCGTGAAGTCAGACATGGAACATGTGGAACGACTTACAAATTCAACATATTTAAAGGTTTGTTAATTGAAAATTAATCACTAATAGTCCTATTGACTGATCTAAACCAATGAACTATAGTTTTCTTGCTGAGTTCCATTAGATTAAAGAGAAAGGGGTAAGAGGTAACACTTGTTAAAACCTTATATTTCCCTTTTTTTGTAGGAATGGTTCACAGACGACTGTAAATTCAGGGAACGTTTCCAGGAGAACAGCTACAACACTTACGCCTCAGTAATCCACAGGAACCACAGGACTGGTCGCGAGTGGTTTGTGGCCCTCAATAAGAGAGGGAAGGCTAAAATGGGCTCCAGCCCGCGGGTCAAATCCCAGCATGTCTCCACCCACTTTTTGCCCAGGGTCAGCCTGTACGACAAGAGTGAGCGAGGCTTCACCATCACAGACAGGAGCAAAGAGAGGAGGAAAGCCCCGCCGCCACTACCACCCAAACCTCCTCTGGCGAAGGCTAACGTCCATGCAGGAACAGCACCAAGACGTACGCAGGTCAAGTACTGGCCCAAATACCGGTTTGGATAGATTTCATAGGGTTTGGCTCTATCTGGGGGATACAAGGTTCAGAGACGTTGGACATATAAGTAATGGACATGCTCAAACTGACAATGGTCATTTATGACATTCAAAGCATTCCGGGTATCTATGAAGTGTATGAAAAACCTCAAAGGGCTGCCAGGTACAACGATTGAGCTTTTCTATATTATGATCATGGTTGGGAGCTGTCTTTCCACTTGGGTTGATTGTCCTGTTTTATGTTATCATTTTTGTACATTGTGAACTTCAGCAGTGACCCAGCTTGAAAATAATGTTTTTTGAAACCAGATGTTGTTAAAGCTGAAATAACCATAACTTTCTGCATATTCTTGAAATCTACATCAAAGATGGAAAAATTTTGTTTTATCTTGCTAGCTGAATGAAAATGTCCTCAGCTGACCATGTAATGTCTTCCATCATTTGTTAGTTGGCAAGGGACTGTACGAAAATGGAACGGTTATGTGTTTTTCTTTTTGCTAAAATGAGGGTTGTCTGAATGGGTTTTTATAATGAGATGAAAATAATAATATCGAAGACAAACAATCATGTCTTTATATCAGGGCTTTATTTTACTCATCACAATAAACTAGTAGAGAAACAGAATAAGAGTGTATTTTTATGATTATTACAGATTGAGCATAGTCATTATTTACTTGCCACCTTAATTTTCCCATGTGAGTAGAGATATTACGGAGAGGGGAGGCTTTGCTAATTTAACTAACTCAAAGGGAGGGTTCAAAACAAGTATTAATAAGCTAGGGAAGCTTTGCATTTAAAAAAAGTTGAAACATTTTTGCACAGTCCCTAAAGTGATGAACTTATGAACCAAAGTAGAATGGGATGACACAGATTTTGTATTTAGTTGAATTATGTTGTGCATGACGGCTCTGGTTTAAATTGACTTGTTGAATTTTATTTTGTTAAAAAACAAAGTAAATGCAGCTCAAAAGCCAGAAAAACACACTCCACCATGCAAAAATAGGTTATAGATTTCAGCTTTAAACAGTGAAAACCTGTTGGTTGAATGATACATGATGTGATACATTTGACTCTATGGCATATTTATTGCCACTTTTGACTCTCTCAAACCTGGCTTTGAAAGTGCTTTAAACATGTCTCCTGCCTAAACAAACACACTGACCAACTGCCCCCTTTCCTAACACCAGATTTGTGAAAATCAAGATGAAAACGAGGACTGGTTCTCTGGAGACTCTCCCCTCCTCCTGGACAGCTGTGAAGGATCAGGGAGAAAACTGTCCATCAAAACTATCATTTTAGCAACCGGCTGTCTCCCCAAAAAATCCAGAGTCATGACCTCAAGGCATTCCACCCAGGAGGAGCACGCACGGCCGTCACCGCAGGGATAAAGATGCCGAGAAAGAGCGGTCACTTGTTTTGGTGAAGGTTCAAGCTTTAGGTGTATCAGATGGCAAACAGCCGTGGAATGGTCATGCAGGAACATACAGACATCTCTGGGGAGAAAGGCAGGGTTTGGCTGTAATGTACAAGGCCTACCTTCCCCCAAGAGCCTGAACTATAGATTAAATGCTGTCTTTAATTTGATTGTTTGAATTACTTGAGCTTGGCGTACATTTTGCAGAAGCATTCAAAGAAACTCAAATGGACAATCTGTCAAACAGCTTTGATCATATTCCACTGTCAGAACCTGTGCATTAATCAAAGGGAAAATGTCACATATATTTGACAGTATGGAAATCTCAAATATCTGCATAACTTCAAAAAAGCCTCTAACAAAAAGTGTAAAAGTAAGAAACATGTATCTATACACTTTGTATTTGACATAAGAATTAAGAGTTATAAAGTTTGTTTCTGGCTATGCACTCAGAGCTGGAGTTCTGCTACCTGCCTGGAGCATGACAGGTGCAGATGAAGTATTGGGTTTTTGTGTCAGGTTCAGGCCATATTGTCGTGTGAAGCCACATGCATGGCCTGGATTTAGGTCAGGTCATTTTCAAATGTAATTTATTACTATGTTTCTGTCTTTCTCTGTCTAACTGTGCTAATAATCTGCTCCCATGTGTGCCATGTGTTGCAAGTAGATATGCAATGCCCGTTGGCAGGAGGGAATGAGGGAAGAGTGTGCCCTGCATTAGCCTGCCAAGCTAACTGTCAGTGATGGATTAAATAAGGCAAAAATACAGCTTTGGGTCTCAGATTTGGCAGTGCAGTCACTGTCAGATCTTAGTGATGCAGGTATGGCCCAGGTTCAGGTCTCAGTTTTGAGCCTGTGCAGAACTACTTAGTGCACAAAGCTCCATTAAGGCTGACTTACAATCTAAATGTTTTGTATGATAAAAGATGTTGGAAAATTCTAAATCTGTACCTTGAACCACATCTTCCAAAAAATACACTAAATGACAACCTTCATTCAGTTCATGCGAAAATAGGAAAATGGTAAGAAAAAAATATTCATTATGAATCTTGCAAGATAAAACATTTCTTGTTCCTTAAACAACAATCTAACTTTCCAGCATTTTTTTTTATTGAAATCTTGAAAGAGTTGTGGAGCTAACCCGGCAATGTATTCAACAGTTTTAAACTAAACCTTGTTGGTGAAGATTATAGCAGAAGACCACTATCATATAGGGGAAGACTGAACATCTAAAAAGAGTAAAATGCTGTTATCATAAGGTTAATACACAGGTTAATACAGCGGAAAAGTATACTGTTACCAAGTGTTACCCAGTGTTTGTCTAGGCAAAGTGAAAAGCTACATGCTCTGGGGTCCTGATAAACTGTAGATATCTTGATGCTGTTTGTTTTTAAGGATCTTCAGTGTTGTCATCATGTTGTGTGGTCCTCATACACAATCCAAAGAAATATTTTTTGTACCAACATTTTTTTTTATAAAAACTTGTATGTATGAATAAGAGTTTTTATGTAAAATTCCTATTAAAAAACAAATATATCAGTGGATACTCCGTATTTATGTTGTATATGACAACATTCAGAGAGATTCTGCTCACTGGTGTATTTATATGTTGGATGAGTTTTAAGAGACAACCTTCTTTTAATGAATGCTTAATTGCATTGCAGGTTAAGGTGTTAAGACTAGACATTTGTGCTGTATTGCACTGAAATCCCAAAGAAGAGGAATTGGTCACAGAAAGGGTCCAGAATCACAGGGGCCAACTAATGAAAGACAGGTGTGGTTGTGTGTGTGTGTGTGTGTGTGTGTGTGTGTGCTGACAAGACTGTGTTGGCTGATGTTCTCCAAATCCTCTGAGGTCATGAAAGTTTTCACTTTAGTCTAAAACAGGCCTGAGCACTGATTACTGACCAACATTTTCCATCTTCTTTTAGATGTGAGCATCAGTGGGGTTCCTCCTCCACTGTATCTAATGAGTCAACATTTAGCCTCATTAACATTTTGTGTCTCTATGTCACAATAAGAGATATTTTCTTTTTTTCCTGCTCTCTTCCAAGAGGAGGTCAGACGTCATACTCTGCCACCTGCAGACTAGAGATTAACATTTATTTTTTAATTTGTCTTTGGTCCTCGCAAGTCCAGTTTCATGGAAGTGTGTACAAAATGACTGCTCTAAATGTATATAATTATCAATTATGACTGTAATTACCATCTGTCTCTTTTTTGAATTAAAAAGCAAAACATGATAGGAAGCTAACTCTCCCCAGAACTGAAAACCTTAAAATTTTTTCAACATTTGTTGACTGGAGACATATTTGTTAAGCACATTCTGACAGACTGTAGAAACAGTGAAAAGTGACATCCGACTGCATATTTTGTGCATTATAACAGCACAAAATGCATCAAAATTGTTTATTTCAGCAAAAATATAGGACCAAAATAACTGCTTCATATGTACAACTGGAGAATAAGTTTACATAGGTTATTTTTTTTTCAATTTATCCAGGCCTGGTTGATTGAGGATGCATTTCTGTTTTTAGCACTATCATGACCAATCATCCAAGAAGGAGCTGCAGTACCTTGCCTGTAAAAGGGAAACCGGGCCCCATCTTGGAGCCAGATCTGGAAGGGGGGCTAGCCAGAGCCCGAACTACATGAAGCTGCCACCTTGTGGGCCCGCCCCCTCAGGGATAGGCATCTCAGTTGGGTGCTTTGCAAACTGGGCGGGAGGGAAAGGCACAAGAAAGAAAGAAGAAGATAAAAAAAGAGGAATGTTTCTAATTCATTTTGACCAATTAGATTTAGGTTAGCGTAACTAACCACAAAAAGAGTTACTGATTGGCTTAATCAACAGGGGGCCAGCACTCTTCTAGGGTACTGAATCCAGATAAGAGTAATTACTTCCCGAGAGGTTATGCATCTTAGAATCACATACTCCATTACAATTATTTCTCCTTTTTTGGGGAACTTGTGTTCACCCAGTCACGTCTTCCAGTAGCCTCTTTGACTTCACATCACATAATGTAAAATTGTATGTATCGATTCTGTGTGAAACAGAAACCAGCTGAATGAAGATTTTATCCTCGTCTCCCCCAGCTCACTGACTGTGCTGTATTTATGCTGTTATGCAATGCTCCGCTCACCGGAACAACAATTAGATGAGGTATTATGTTTTGCTACAGTATGAGAGGCAGATTTAGATGACATTTAAGGCATTTAGCTGGAATTCTAATCCAAACTCATGAACTGTGAGAAAACAGAAGCAGTAGGCTGGTGTCAAAAGGCCAATAATATTCCTGTCATGCCCAAGGCTCTATGTATACTGTATTTGTTATTACAAATATGCTATAGTCACAGAAGTTTGATCTAATTTTATTTTTTGTTTTGTAGCATTAAAGCACTACTGCCTTGTGTTATTTCCTCTTTTAAACGTACATAGTCTTTCTTCAAAATATGTGGGAAAAAAAAGTTCTATCCCTGGTTACACAGACGTTGACAAAATCTGACTGTGTTGTTGACTGGACAATTTTCACAGCAGAAATTTTGACTCTTGACTCATCATATTAGGAAACGCACAGGTGGTACTAATAACATTAATAATGGCTCCATTCTATTCTAAGTGTCCCAGTAAGCTATGACAGACAGTGAACCTGCATGCACAAAACCAGGACCCAGAAACTGAAGCAGCTTAATGGAATTTAAGCATTTCGTTATTTACACATGCTCTAGCTGGTATTTGCAGGAACAGCAAGGCTAAATGTCTGTAGTAGATACATTTACAAGAATGCATTATTCTGTTTACTCCTCAATGTGTGAGCGATTCATCCATCATTCTTTGTAAAAACAGCATCGCAGCAGCAGCAGTAGGACTGTATAAAAGTGATTATTGTGCTGAATGTCAATCCTCTGGGCAACACAACCGAACTGTGTAAGTATTAGAAAAACAGGTGATGTGAGTTCAGTGAGAAAGAGTAAACACCATGAAAAAGATTGTTCAACACAGAATAAGAACAACAGAGGTTTGGCGTGTATTATTCATATTGGTGTTAAATAATGAAGTGGGTCTTCATTTCTACGTAAGAAAACACTCGGAGACCTGAGAAATGAGATGAAGCTTGCGTGACAGTCTATATTTAAGGTTCATCTTGAAGGAGCAGATTCCCTCGTTAACCAACTTACATCTCTACTCCTCTGCCCACCAGCTCTTCCATTTGTCTTATTTGTCTGTCTTGCATATGCTCTCATTGGCCATAAGTTACTTGGCTGTTGCACGAGAGCACATTCATAACAACATTTTTAATCATTACCTCATTTTCCGTGCACGTCATTGCACAGCCATTAAAAGTCATGCTGAATGAGAAAATTTAAACAAAATGATAATAAAAGATGATAATGACGGCCAAGAGTCACAGTATTTCTGCAAATGGAGCCGAGAACATTCCCACTGAACATTTTATTCTGTATTTTACAGTCAGCAAAGGTGCCAAATTGTGTAGTTTTGCCAGGATGTAGGGACTGACATCATGGGACTGGATAACTTTGTCATCTCGTACATTATCCGCTTAGGCCCCAACAATGATGTTGGTAAATTGAGTTAGTGGGAAGTTTATCAAGGTACATACAACGTACAGAACAGGGACATACAGAATGAAGACACTGGTAACTGACTTCACACAAACGCCTAATACAATCTACTTCTGCACAAACATGCTTGGATTAAGCCGCTACGCAGTTGTTCCCAACATGAGGAGACACTCACAAGATGATCACAGAGATAGGAGCAACATATTATATTACAGACCCTGAAGGCTTTGTCTCTGGGCCTAGAGTAGAAGTCATCATTCACCCTCAGGGGTTTGAAAAATAAACCTGTGGCAAACTTATAGAAAAAGACCTGAGGACAGTTAGACTCTGCAAAATGCTGTTTACCCAGGAAGGACCCAATCCGACCATAGCAACAGCACAATGCTCCGCCTATTAACAAGCAACCACTGTTGAGCAAAGAAACAAAACATGCCACTTTTTATTGCACTTTACAGTTCACACTTTCAGTCTCGCCTCAAAACACATTTTTTTCCTGCAAGGTGTGTTAGACAGCTGAGATCTGTGGAAGCAGAATATGACTCCTGGATATGATTTTGACGAGAAGCAGAAAGGACCTGTGAAGACAGTTAGCCTTGTTCTACTGTAACAGCCTATACATCTTAGCTGCTGCACTAAACCTCAGTACAATGTAAATTAGAAAGATGTTGCTGTTTATGGTGTTCAGGGGTCTTCAGGAGTCCGCTCTCTCACACAGGGTAATACAAATCTGCTGTGGCTGCAATGTATGGGGGAAATACCTGGAGGAAAAAAAATACTTCTGTGGAAGATAAGATGTGTGATATGTGATATGTAGGCCTATGATTTTACTGTAAAACAACACTTAGGGCACTAGCTATTTTAATTGCCCTGCCAAGCTGCAGTAACCCATTTGCTTCTCTTCAATTTCACCTTAATAATCTGTAAAAAAAAATAAAAATAAAAAACTTCTGTATGATTTATTTATTGAATCTATTTGTGCTGTGGAATGAACAACCGTTCGTTGGCCTTTAGTAGGCGAATTATTTGAATATTGTAGTTTTCTCCGCAAGTGAATGTAATGGATACTCCTGCTGCATTTGAGGGACATGAGCAAAGACATATATGGACGTGAGTGTACTGACTTCCGCTTCCTACTATGAGCGGTTGCCATAGCAGCCGTTTACAACAGAGCGTGAAGATGGAGTACAACGCAGTCGCTCGTGTCCACGATTCTCTAACACAGTTTAAAGTCTACGAAGATTATCTCGACTCCAAAATCACCCCAATGGATTTATTTTACTTAAAAGTGAGTCACTCTGGTACAAACTATTCAAACTCCTTATAAAGTGAGTGTTAGCTATATTGATACGTAACGTTAGCTAACTCTGGTTCCGCTCTGTTTTGTACACCACGTCAGAACCGCATTCACTAAGCTGCCACTTTAAGGTTATCTTTGACAATCTGCAACAGTGCACAACATTAAAATGCAACTTTCGACTTTTCTGAATGACCATGGCGCCTTCTTCACTTCGGCATGTACCAAATCCTCCAACCCGTTCTTATTGACTGACAACTGACGATCTAGTATCTAGTAAGGACATTATGGAGCAAGCAACCAGAGTTTACTCGTTAACTAATATTTGCCGTTTACTGAGTATTTGCCGTATTGAGCATAGTGTCCTTGAGATTGTTAAATGGATTTAATGGACGTTTAATGAGTTAGGTATTTCTTGCCGATGCACAAGGTAAACACACACACCTGCCAACATTTTGAATGAGTCCGGCCCATCTCTTGATGTGTTGGTGCGTTATATGTAGGCTGGCTTTAAATTGGTCGTTTTAAAAAATACACACTGAGTTCTTATATTCTCGTCGTTGTTCTGGCCAGTTTTCATTAGCTCGCATTGAATGTTGCTGTGTTAAATTTAGTGAACCTGCCATGGGGGTAAGTTTGGTTGTTGTAGTTTCTGTGGTTGCACGCTAGGTGGCAGTCACGCACAGGTTTGACAACAGGGGTTTAAACTATGGGCTTACAGAGCAGCTCCCACCAGACCAGTCATTTAAAGAGAGAAAGTAAGGGAAATGAATATTTATATCAGGCCTCACTCATATGATTAAAGCAATAGAGACAACAAAAATGTTATTACAAAATGACACTTGAAAAGCCTGAAGGACACCATGAAGTGTAAGTAAATCCTTGCTCCTACATTAGTCTGAGTGATACTCTTTAGAGTGCACCACAAGTACTGATTAGACCCACTTTGTCAATATGGTCTTATATCCTAACCACAGTTACTCTGGTATGATCATTTATGCTAATACATTGAGACTATGTGTCCTGAAAAAGCATTGAAATTACTCAAATTGTCTAGTTTTAAGGATTCAGAAGTCTTAATTATCACTTTTGCAAATGCTGTTGTACCTGAAATGTATTCATCATGACCAAAGACCTTATTTATATTTGTATCTATCTATATATGTTTTTTCCAGGCTGTAAATTTAAAATCGTATTGTCAACAGAGGAACTCTGAATCATATTTTCTTTCATTCCTCTCTTCAGGTTTTTGCTCTTACATTTATTCTAGCGGCTATACAAAGATTCCAAATAGACTTGAACTGAACCTGCTCACCAGACATTGGCAGTCCTGTCTTTGCCCAGCAGGTGGCACACTCGCTAATGATATCCATTGCCGCTGCAGTGACCACTTTGTTTGAACACCTGTGTCCACACAGAGAAGAGAACAACTCATATCTGGCCTGATAATCAGCTGCAGTCAATCACTATCAAACTCAATCACCCCTGTGTTGTGGCACAACACAGTCAGCACAGGTCATCTAACCTGTGCAGTCATGCTGATAACCTCCAAGTTCTGATAAATCAGCTAATTGTGAACCTATTTCTCCTGGATAATGTTAGTTCGAACAAACTATGACTATAAACTGAGAAAAGTGAAGTAGTTAAAGATGTTTTCTCACAAAGTCAGTACGGCTTTTGCCAGGATAGACGTAGTAGCGTATTAGTCCAAGTCCCGGTGAGGGGACCAAAAGAAGCAGTTCATTCACATAGACTTATTCAATGAGCCTTGAAAATGAAGACAATGATTTTCAGGCCAATTTTAGGACCGGCAAATGTCTGAGACTCATTTCTGGTGAGCCACATCAAAGTTGAAGGAAAATATAACTTTTCCTCTCGGGTGCGGACGCAGGCCCGGCTGCTTCGGGTAGGAGGACATGTGGCCGAAGCTTTGATCTGACAACCCACAGGATTTGACAGCAAGATTTGGTTTTTAGATGATGACTTTATGGCTTGGCTTTAATGATGGCGGCTCTGCAAACGGTGATTGGAGTAATGTAGCTAACAATCCCTGCAGGGGCACTGACACGTACACTCACACACACACACACACACATACACTTGATGAATGATGAAAAATCACAAGAAAGCCACAAAGCTAAACTATATCTGAAGCTTGTGGCGTTGCAGATCCGGCTATCACTTCCATATTTTTGGGAAGGGAGTGAATTAACAGTTTTCAACTTAAGGCCAGAGGAATGAGTAAATCCTAAATCCTAAATCCTGGCTGACAAAATTTCTAATTTCATTTCAGTCAGTGCTCAGAGGTCAGGGCTGAGCTGGAACCAAATCCAGGATGCTGCAGAAACTGGATCTATCCTTTGTCTAAAATAGCCACTGATTCATCAGTTAGTGGATTGAAAAAGTAATTGTTTGACTCATTTGTCAAGCAAAAATGCCAAATATTCTCTGGTTCCAGCTTCTAAAATGGGAGCATATGCTGCTGTCCTCTGTTTTATATCATTGTAAGCGGAATATCTTTTAGGTTTTTGGACTGTTTGGCAGACAGAACAAGAAAAAGAACGTCACCTTGAGCTCAGGGAAATTGAGATAGGCATTTTTCACTACTTTCTGACATTTAACTATAATAAAAAAATACTAGCTGCACTCCTGAAGTGCTATCCAAAAAGAGCAGTGAAAAAATAAATCCCAGCATTCACAGCTTACCATGCCAAAACTCAAGACTGACAACATCTGACAATCTTCAGCCCTGCCTGCAGGCCGTGTCCCCTCGCCTTGACTGACTCCTCTCCTTTTCTTTTCTCTCGCAGAGCAGGGAGTTGGCCCGTACGCTGGTGGAGCACGGCCACAAGGGCACAGTCCTGAGCAGGGAGGAATTTGAGGAGAAGAAAGCAGCTGCACAGGCTGCGGAGGCTGCGAGGAGCAACACTTTCTACAACAGGAGCCGGCCAATGTGAGTCCAGTTCTCACCAACACACCATGCACACTGAGATGTCGTCTGTATGACTAACACGGGAGACAAATTCACACCAACCACCAGTCAGATGCTAGAATCTCAGCAGGCTGTGTTATATTCTGAAAATCGAGCTGTTTTAGAGTCTGAATGCGGTCAGTGGATTGGATCAGTCAATGTGGTCTAGGAGAAGAGAAGTTACTCTCCGGCCCTCTGCCTTTATGTTAGTGTTCCGTTGTATTGACTTCTGATTTAATGTGAAAGAACAATATTTTAAATCAGTGACCCTCAGTTTTCTCCCTAGAGTGTGCAACTTCACTGCTAGATGCCACTAAATCCTACACACTGACCCTTTAGGTACCGGGTTACTGGAAGGTGTTGTACAATAAATAGGACTGTGCACTGCCATTGCACAAATCAGTGTTCAGGCCAAAACAAGCAGTATTTTTCTCTAACGGCTGAGTTGGTGTGGCTGCGTTATCACAAAGGCCATGTTATCCTTTGTTTTAACATTTGTGGGGCAAACAGTTGTAAGCTGTAAAGTATGCCATTACTGTTATCAGGTATCCTACCAGGAGTGTGCATTTGCGTGTTTGATTGGACAGCGCAGGAATAGTTGAGCCAGGTTCAACAGTTTTATCGTACAGCGCTGTGTTGTTGTTGCCGGGGCCCGTCAGTGTCAGGGTCCTCGCCGATGCTGTACTAATGTTAGTTTGAATGTGACATAACTGTAACTCTCAGACAGAGTGCGAGTTGTGTTTAGTCAGAGGCTGAACTGAACACAAACGCACACACAGAAACACACACGGTTGGTGTGTCAGTTGCTAGCTTACAGCTCATAATAGTTTTGGGTTGCAACTAATGATTATATTCATTATCGATGCAAATTGTTTGTAAATGGTGAGAAAATGCCTTTCACAATTTGTTAGAGCCCACTGTGATGCCTTCAAGGTGCTTGTTTTTGTCCGGCCCTAAAGGTATTCAATGTATTTATATATGACAAAGAAAACAGAAAATTCTCAAATTTGCAAAGTTGCAACCCCAAAACATTTCGTATTTTTGCTAAAGAAAAAGACTAAAATGCCTATTTGACCATCCGCACCCTTGTGATCCTAACCAACAATGAACCAGCTCACTGAATGTTGCTAAAATTGAAGTTTCAGGTGCATTTTGTTAACATGTACAATAAAGTTTCAAACAATCTTTTTCTTTCTTCCTGTGTTTTTGAGATGGGATGTCTGTCTCCCTGCAGCGAGCGGCAGCAGAAGTACCTAGGGACAAATGTGAAATGCATTTTTGGCTGAAGTTCTGCTCTGCTAATCAAAGCATGACAGGTCGTAAAATGGGAATCTTTTATAGTTGTATCCGGTGCGGTAGCGGCTTGAGCAGCTTATATAATCCTTTATGATTGCATTTTACAAAAGAGAGGATAAATGGGAGTAATACATCAAGTCCATGTCCTACACGCACAAGCCTTTTATTTGAACAAGGGCTGCCCATCTGTCTAAATTAAAATAAAAATGGTTAACATAAACAAGCTGGATGACAAAACTACCAAATGGAGTCTTCTATAAACTGCCCCTCCTGAGGAAAGTGATCACACAGATATTGTTCTCATTCTTGATAAAGCCATGTGGTTGTGGTATCGCCTTTGATGACAAGCCAGAACAGACTCCAAATAAGACCATTCACCACACACACACACACAGGGTTTTGGAGGTATCCAAACATTTACCTGCTAGGTGTTGAATTTGATTGAACCCTCAGATGCTTATCCAAACGTGCAGATGTCTCGCTGTTGTCCGCCCCCCCC